AAAAGTTAAAAACAAATAAAGGCTTTAGAAAAGTCAAGATCAGCTAAATTCGAAGACAAAAGAGAAAAACCTTACATTATTCAAGCAAAACTGAATAATGGAGCCTATAAACTACAAATATTAAATAAAAAAATACTACAGAAATATAAAGTACTACGAGAAACCAACATAAGAACCAATTATTGTGATCAAAAATCCTTAATTTCTGGAATAAATTTTATTGGACATGGAGAGACAAAAACAAAATATTCAAAACAGACAATTGTACAACTTTAAAAATTATAAATAGATACTTTATTTGAAAATTTTCAAATTTATATACAATATACAGACACCATACACAACAACACCTTGCAACTTGTAACTATCCAAGACCTCCAATACTTCTTTATTATTTGGATACAGGACCCTGCTATCCAAAACAATTTTAAAATTTGTTCTTCTAACATCTTTCTGTGAAACTCTAATGACTCTAATAATACTAGTGAAATTACTTTTCTAGTAAATACCACTGACTCCACCAATATAGAAGTTTTTTTGAATAATATTTTAACTGAAAATTCAGAAATTGACTTAACTCCAAATAATCCTCCATCTAATACAGAACCAGAAGTGAATCTTACTTCAGACAATTCTTCTTTTGAAATAGAACCAGAAACAAAAATTTTTCAAAAAGTTCATCTTGAACTAACACAACCTTTAACTTTTCTATCTTATAATCATCCTAACTCTTTTATTGGTAGAACTTGGAAAGACCAATTGACCAAAATTCTTCAACAATTAGAAGATAAAGGCCAAACTCGACCCAAACAGATAAAGGTTATTGAAGCTTATCTGTACTTAGAAATTCTTATTCAGAAACAATCTGGTGAACAACAACAAATTTGTAAACTTATCCAAGTTTCTTAAAGTTCTTGAAAGACTCAAGATATTTGGAAAGAAGCTACTCAACTTTAACAAATCTTTAGCATTTGACCAAAAGAATTGCTGTATTAGACCTGATACTTTACTGTAACTCATATTGTAAGTTTACTGATAAAGAGTATTAGTCTTTAGTTAAGAATTTGCAGAGCAAATTTTTATAAGAGGACAGAAATATTATAGAACAGTTTGTTATTTTATTAGTTTATTATTTCAATATTGCATAATTATTAGTTATTATTTTATGAACAAATTTAATTAATACCGGTAGATATACATATCCTACCCCTCAACCCCCTGCACTTCAATTCAAATAATTGTATAGGGTGTGACCAATTGTGGATGATTAATAAGCATTAGCTATATGTTTTATATAGCCAATACTTATTTATCACACCCATAATTGCTCACACCCTCATGCAAGTATTTGAATTTACAAGTTTCTAACTACATAACAAAAAAATAACGCTTCACTTTGGCTGTCGCCTCTGCTACGCTTTTTAACTAAAATATCAGGTAACCAGTTTTTATTAGATTCTGACCCTAACTCTAAATATGAACGCTCTAAGACTATAATAATTTCATAGTCAATAGCTGATACAATTCAATAAATAAATACAGAATAATAAAAAAAAATAACGCTTCGCTTTGGCTGTTGCCTCTGCTACGCTTTTTTAACCTAAAACATCAGGTTAACAGTTTTTATTAGGTCCTTACCCTAAATATGAATGCTCTAAGACTATAATAGTTTCACAGTCAATAGCTGAATACAATTCAATAAATAAATACAGAATGATAAAAAAAAATAACAATTCGCTTCGGCTGTCACCTCCGCTACGCTTTTTTAACCTAAAACATCAGGTTAACAGTTTTTATTAGGTCCTTACCCTAACCCTAAATATGAACGCTCTAAGATTATAATAATTTCACAGTTAATAGCTGAATACAATTCAATAAATAAATACAGAATGATAAAAAAATATTGCTTTGCTTTGGCTGTCGCCTCTGCTACGCTTTTTTAACCTAAAACATCAGGTTAACAGTTTTTATTAGGTCTTTACCTAACCCTAAATATGAATACTCTTAAACTATAATAGTTTCACAGTATAAATTTAGTTGCAGCACCCAAATTCAGAACATATTTTTGCTTCGTATTTTTAATATAAACTAGTTTTGACACCTAATTTTGTATACTTCTATTTACTCTCTAAATAATAATATTTAGATAGAAGTATACAAAATTTGTTCCAAAATCTCTGTATTATACCTAAATAGTGAAGTTCGTCCTTTCAACTCCAATTCCATTAAGATAAATTTGGCCAAATTTATACATTCATAAGAATTATTCAATTCTACAGATATTTGATAGTATCTGAATGCCTTATTTAAAAGTATTTCCATAACCAAGCATTAGTATTCCCTTAAAATTTCCTATATCTGCTAATTTTTTACAATTAGTAAAACTCAATTGACCTAATGCGCTAGTGATTATAGGTTGCTACCAATAGAAATCAGGTCAGGCAGATTTATTAAATAAATCTGCTTGGCACCAACTCATATTCTAGAAATAAAGTAAAAAAAACTCGGAGAAGGAAAAACAAACAAAAAATTAGATTAAACAAATAAAAATATTAGAATATCAATTTTTCTAATACTTAACTATACATAATGCTAACCTAAATTAAAATCTACAAATATATAAATTGGTAAGATAATACATTATATGATTTCCAAATCAGTTATATATATGCATTTTTTTTCTTAACAAGCCAATTACTAAATAAGATAAATCAACTCCAAAGAGTCTAAACTAGAGTTTTGCTAAGTGCCAGAATGGTACTATATTAAAACATAGTGCTTATACCAGGCACTATGTTTTAATTTAGTACCATCCTAACACTTGCAAAACCCTACCTACCCGCTTCTAATTATTTTCTTTATCATGCTGATCACTTTTTTCAGGACAATTTCTTGAATCATGATATCAAGACTTACACTTAGCACATTGTCTTTTATTTTTCTTCTTTTCTTTTGAAAGTTGATTTTCAATAGCTGACAAGTATCTTTTATTTGTAGATTGGCCTTTCCCTTTGTGCTAAATCGGATCTGTGATATTATTAATGTTATTAGAATCTTCGGAAGATTCTGTAGACATTTTATTTTGCTTTTTAATAAATTGTTGTAAAAGTTCTTCAAAAGCTTCGCTAGAATTGTTTAAGATTGCCAAATTTAAAGCCTTTTTGCATAGCCCAAAACCACGGCCATATATTTCTTTTTTTGAATCTAAATTTATAAAAGATTCATCGAATATCTCTTGCCTACGAATATTATTTAATGTTTGAAACATGCTGGTTTGAAATTCAGTTTCAACTTGAATTAGTGTAATTGATTTTTCTTGAACTTCTTCTCTTAACAAAAGTCCTTCTTTCGAATACCATCTGGAAGGCACAAGTTTAATATTAAACTGTGCTTTTTTGATTGAAGCATCATAGCAAAAAAATGTCTACAAACAAATCTCGCATAAACTAAATAAAGACAAGTGCAGTAATGTGTACTATCATTGAATATAACCACATACTGAGATTTATTTGTAATAGTTTGAAGATGCTTAACCTCCCATATTTCACTCAAAACACCCTCTGAACAATCCTCCAAAGCCATGTTAATTAAAATTTGAGGTTCTTCATAATCATCCTCAAGAAACCCTTCATTATACTGATTTGAATTCTGCATTGTTATACTAATATCCTTAAGTTCATTTATCCGAACTCTATACAACAGGCTTTCCATCATTTGCTTCTGTTGCAGTGCCAGCGAATTTGGTGTAAGATATTTTTTAATATTTTATCCATTGAATTAAAAATAGTATTAGAGACCCGGGGGATTCCAGTAGTAGGGTTCATTTTCCGAAATTCTTGCCATCGTGAATATTTGGCTTCATCTTTTAGTCTTAATTCAACTCTGAACTGGAGTTGGCATAATGAATTTCCTGAATTTGCCTCTAATTTTATAACCCTATTCAAACTCTCTACGCATTGGGTTGAATGTGTATTGGCTGAAAAGCTATGTTTGGTAAATGCATAAGCCCAGCATGTTTTGGTCGGATACAATACACGTTCAAAATATTTTTGAACTTCTTGGTATTTATTAATTAAATTTGTCCAACAGCGTTCAAAAGCTGTACTGGTAAGTGAATTGCGTATAACATAGAAATCATTAATGAAAGTTTCAATTTACTTTGAAGTTTTGGTTTAACTTTCTTTATTAAATTTTGTTGAATATGAAAAGCACAATGTCTCACAATTGTCCTAGGATACTGGTTGCTTATTGCAACCTGCATCGCTGGGTCTGCA